AGGATGAGGCAAGATGGGGATATTTGTTAACCCTTTGCACTCGATAGGCGATTCTAAGTCACCGCCTAATTTGGTATATTAGAATTATCAATTTTATTTATTACTATAAATTACAGATTTTTTTGTAATTGATCATATTTAATTTCAATATTGTGTACAATTATCTTATATGTAATATTAAGCTTTGTATAATGTATCGATATATGAAATACTGAAATAAAATTGCTTCGTTTCCTTAATTTATGTATGTTTTCTCTTTAGTTAGTTTCTAAGAATGTGTTGTAAAGAACTTTCGAGTGCGCAGGGTTAACACTAGACAACAATGTTAGTAAAGTAAAAGTCCGTCCAACTGGCACAGTAATTCTACTGTTAACACTTTATCTACCGCTCCTGATTAAGGCAACTACTCACTAACGACGAATATGGTATTCTTCATTATGTAGAAGTGTATGTTTTCACTTGCAAAGCTTTGTAACTGTAAAATTAAAGTATAAGGGACTCCCTTATGGTCGTTCTGATTTCTTTTCTTTTAAATCGGCATACTTGTAATAGGTTACCGATTGTTAAGCATTCGAAATCGAAAAGCCGTTTAATCTTTATGGATGAGACTGTCTTAAACTTCTAACATTTCTTTCTATAAAAAACTGAATTATGCCTCGAAGTCTTAAATACTAAAAGAAAAAACCCACATGTCTCTCGTTAGTCGAATAATTAAATTATTCATTTGTAATTCTCGTAATTGTAAAGGATTAATATACTCTGTCGGTCAAAATTTTGAAACTACTTGATACATAACGTCACAAATTAAAAATGGTATATCTTATAATATATAAAATAAAATAACAAAAATGATATATTTTTACATTTGACTAATACGTATATGTCGGTGTTCCTTTATGATACACAAAAGTTCTTCATTACAAGCTGTTTTAAAAAAAATGGCACTTTTTCTTTTAACTACACAATTAATTACGTCCGACGAGTATACGCGTAATTTTAAAACTCACACTAACACTAATTCTCTCAACGACAAATTATTTATTTTTCCAGATTAACATATAATTCTTCTTTGTTTCGCTTTAGTGTTCTGTTAAAACATATTATAAGTGCATTTACCTGCGTTTAGATAATGTACAATTCATTAATCCAATTTTATCATAAGCACAATCAGAGATTCTTGAAGTTAAATTCCACAGCTAACAGGTTCACCGATGTATTGGTCCTAAACGTTTGACCGACAGTGTAATCCTTGTCGTCAGCGAAAATGGCGATCGGGTTCCATTAACCCCGGGAGGAAACGAAGAAAGGAAGAGGAAGGAAGGAACGCGTGGCGCGTCTCTTCGCGGATGAGACCAAAGGGGAAACGAAGAGAGAGGGTGAAAGAGATCTGGCGGCGGCTGGTGCAGCGGATGTTTGAAGCTGCTGAAAGTGTGCGCGGTGGTTTCTTTCGCGCTCCTTCTCTGTCTTTCCTGCCGCGTTTCCTTCGTCAGTTAACCATGATCGCGGGTAAAACACGGCCCGCGGAGGAAGCACCTCGGCGGATGTGATGTTTAGGACACGGCCCCCTGGACAAAAAATCCTCACCGTATAAATAGGCAACGGTGGTTGGCACCGGTATCGCCGGTTAACTTTTTGACCCACATATTTCCATCCGATGATTGTTTGTGGACGTACCACCCACTTTTTCCCACCCTCTCTTTCCGCTTTTTCGGGACCCTCGTCTCTTTCTCGTTCCTTTTAATTTAATCGTCGTTCCGGTGAAGCAAGCAACTCTAAAAATATTTGAATGAGAGGTATAACTGAGAAATGCTTATTGATTTCATTAGGTACCTGTAAACGTTCGTGCCAGTTCTTCAATCAAAATTGAAACGCAGAGAATGTTTTTGTAAAATTATCTTATTTTGTAACCGCGCTAACGTAACTTGCTAATGTTAGTTGATTAAACTATGTGAAATACTGATTAATATCGGACCTCGATTCATTGTTAACAAGAAAACCGCACGAACTTCTTTCGGTACTTGATAGATTCATTTAATGTATTTGGTTGTTTCAAAAGTTCTTTTCGTTTCGATAACCGTTCGTGACGGAGGACTTCTTAAGTACTTTAAACTTTTATCGGAGGAAGCTGAATTAAGGTAATTCAGGGGGAGATGACCATATTTTCTTTGAAATGCATTTAAATGCAAATTGAAAGAATTCGAATACCAGATTTGATTTCTAAAGGAACTTTAATTATCTTCTTGTGAAACAATCAACAAGAATTAAAATTATAAATGAAAGAACGTCAATTGTAATTGTAATTGTAAACGTACATAATTGGAAGGTATCCATTAATCATTTATCCCTTGGATAATTTAATTATTCGCTTGAAATATTCTATTTCAAATATAAAAACTTGATGTTGTCTATAAGTGATAGGGTAATTTAATATTATTGTACCTGTTTAATGTTACTGTCTGTGAAGATAACACGTGATATAAATAGCGCATTATATTTTACGTACAATTTATACAAATGTTTCACTATCAATAATTATTTCGATACAGGAATTGATTTGATGTTTTCTAAAAAATTTTGTAAAAATCTAATTGTGCTATAAAATTTTACCAACAAGGTTGAGAAACAGTACTAGTAAGCTAATAAGAAGAGCGAAACTCATTTTTCAAAAGTTTGGATCGGGGCCAATTGTCAATTAAGAGACTCAACTATTTCCCTGACTTACGGCAGGTGTTTGCTTCCCGATGAAATTTTGTCCAACATTATGATTCTAATGGATCTTTGACCCTTTCGTTTGTAACACAGGCAAAATGAATTATCAGTGTACTGTATCGCAATCAACACTACAATGTTGAGTTCTATGTATTTTCTAGTTTTCAAATGTATCATATTTAATTATATTTGCTGTTGTTCGAAATGTGTTATATAATCGTGATGATTTCAGGGCCAGTTCCAGCGTAACGAAAGGGCTAAAAGTTCTCGTAACACGATCGTCACACGGAGCCACACTTGTCGGTATGTTTCTACTCAGGTTTCAGGAGTCAAATCATTTCTTACCCGCAACCTGCTGGACGAAAGCCTGTAATCGCTGAATTTTTCTTCATTGAAATTAGGTTAACAATAATTCACCTATCAACTTAGATATTTATAATATTTATACAATATTTATTTATAACATTTATTAATTTAAATTTATACAATATTTATTTACAATATTTATTAATTACATTTGTGTAATATTTATATATACATATCATTTACTAATTTATATAGTTATAATATTCTACAATAGATCCACAATTTAAGTATCCATTACAATATAAGACGATCGATTTTTATTTACTTACCTCTAGTACTTCTTAATTTAATGAATTGAAAAAAATGTTTTAGGTACACCCATTATCTACGTCAAGAAGAACGTATTTTTTTTAACGGATCCCTTCGCTTTTACGTTCTTTAATCTGAACCAATTCAAAAGTACAGGACCAAAGCAGTAATTTATATTTTTACTGACATTCTACTGATTACTATTTCTATCCTATTTTATAGTTTTACATTCATTGTTAATGCATTAATTAGATTAATTTCTGATCAATATCTTTAATCAATTTTTCAGTGAAAACATGAAGATAATGAAGATGTTGCTATTAAAAATATCGCGAAATCAGTGAAACTATTGATGCAAAAAAATATTCGTAAAAAGGTCATTAAGATATGATATAGTGCATGCGAAGACAAAAAAGGAAATATTATTTAAGTGTACTTTACAGCAGTCAATTAGCATGTCATTAGAATATACGAACCGGTGAAGTTTATTATCCAATTTGGTGGGGCCAGAGAGGGATAGGCGTCGCGTGGATGCGGTCGGACGTGCTCGACACGTGGTTGTCAATATTCCAGGCTCCTGCCGAGAAACACAGACCTCCCAGTGCCATCCGACCACCATGTGCACCGAAACCTCGGTGAAGTCCCTCTCAGGTTTTCGAATCGCTTTCTATTTGTCGTCGGTATCACCGAAACCGAATGGCGCGTTAAAAGAAAAGAAAAAAATAGGGAAAAAAAAACAAGAACGAAACACCGAGAAACCGTCCCGAAAGACCAACGCACGGTTTACACCTCCTCGGTGTCCACGGTGGAAATTTTAAATAGACCCTTTCGAACAAGTGCATGCCGTGCACTCCGCGGGAGAGAATTTGAATCATTTCTTCATCTTCTTCTTCTTTTTTTCTTTTCTAGGGTAGACGATGCAAAGACGGAAGAATAAAAAGTGAAAACGTGAAGAATGACTCCCATTGCCAAAGACAAAACTAATGGTAATTTGTTTCTTTCCTCTGATAACCGCAAGAAAATAAATGCATTGTTATATTATATACTTTTTAATCGATTTTTGGAAATTCTGCGTGTTAACAGTAAAAAGGACAGTATGAATTTTCAAGTGGTAATGTATATGAAAAGAATAGCGCTTATTGTATATCTGGAAATAATAAATTTTTAGTTTCCTCTGGTTTTATAATAAATTTATATAATAAATTAGTTAGTAATGGTACTTATCAATTGTGAACCTCATAGGAATATGAAGTTTTCATCACACGTTTCCAAATATTTTGATTAGGGTTGGAACGTATACCAAAGTTTTAGTATTTGATATAATTAATTAAGAATAATGTCAAGTTAAAAATGTTCTTTTGAGGTTAACGCCGTGGACTTATTGCGGGCCGCACTGAAATCTCGGTGAAAGTGAACGGTGGTGGCTGTATTTTCCATTGCGGCTGTCACCTGCTCTTGTTGCTTGACCAATTGATGCGAACCCGAGTCCGGCACACGGCCAAAGTGCACCAGGCGCACGCCCGATTCGTATGAACATGACACCCTTGCTTTTACGACGTTCTGCGCGTGGCATATGCTTCTCGAAACTCCTCGTTACCAGTTTCTATTATTATAGAATTTACGTTTCGTTAATTCATTTGCTAAGAGGACTGCGCCAACGGATTTCTGACAGGAATTTAGAAATCGAAACTTTGGGACATCATCGATTTCATATCTAGAACGTCGTAAAGCCACTTGGGCCTGAAGATCATGTTTAGTCTGTGTAAGAATTGATGTCCTTCGAATTGGTATAAAATCTAGAAATTAATGTCAGATTTTTGTGAAAGAGTTGATCCTTGATGTACCAGTACGAAACAGTAAATTTTACTATAAACGGGGAAAACATATTTTTGAAAAACCGAATTATGTTATTAATTCTGAATCAGTTAACAAATAAATGGAATGTGGGAAAAATTTAATAAAAAATGACAAGGGGAAATTTACATAGATACTTCATATCTATTACTTTGTATTAACAATTATTTTAAATACAGATAAATAATAGATGTTTACATGTTCTGTTGAACATTTGCAATTATCGTTTTTCAGGAATAACGAAATATTTTGAGATTGAATGTTGTTTAACTCACGTCGATAGGATAATGAGAGGGATAATTGGAGTTCGTCGAAATGTGAAAAAATACGCTGACTGTAACTAATGGTTCAGGATAAGCCGGGGTTGGAATACTCCACAAGACTTCATATGTATAAAATTCTGTACCCCTTCTGCAGTGTAGACCAATGAAGGTTGCATGGAACATCCACTCTTTTAAAAGCTATAGAAACATTATCTAAATGAATAAATAAATAAGAGTAGAAAAATCCATATAAATAAAAAGAAAATTATCTGCTCATCATTTCTAGAAAAATAACTGTTTAACTGCATATTTACGCAAAGGGCACTAATAATAATTATTATTATATAATCAGTACTGGTAATGCATTCCATGATTCCATTTCTTTAATTATACTGTTCAAACCACCTTGAATTGTAAAGTTACCACAGGTGAGCCATTTATTTCCAAAATAACCCATTTGTCGCATATATTTTCCAGAGAAGTCATCGTAAGTGATGGCACCCTGCTTAGTTTCCCGTTAATAAATATTAACGATTTATTCCATTTTTACAGTGAGCATTACAATCTTCATTGTTATGTTACCATGTTAGCAATAATTTCTAAAGCGCTTTCAAACGCTTTATTAACACATCTTTCACAAAACTTATTTATGGTACTGTAACACGCATAAAGATAACGATCATTGATTTCAGGATAATTGGTGAACACAGAACGTACGTTATCAAAAATCATATTCCAAAAGGAAATGTGAATGGCGAATAGAAATATTTGATCAAGTTTTCCAGAATTTATTTTGCCGAATAATTACGTACATTTGTCATTGCATTCGTGTTAAAAAAAGAAGCGTTAAAATCGTCGCCGTCGCGCTTCCGCTCGTGCGTATTTGTCTATTATTGTGACAATTACTCGCGATATACATACATACATACGTCTATAGTTGTATACAACATAAGAATATACGGATAAAACGCACGCACAATTAAATTAGACGAAGACTCGAATTTAGACACATGGGTATCTATAATATGATATTAAAACTTATTATTACGAGTTAACAGTCACTCTTAGAATTATTAGTATGATCGTGATGCGATCGCGCCATCTTTGTAGATGCTTCCAAGCCTGTTACGGCCGCCAGAACTTGAAACAAACTTTCCATCAGTCTGCTAAATATCTCTGACATTTCGTCATCCTTTCGCGTAACCACAAAAATGTCTAAAATAAAATAAAGGCACGACAGTTAATTATAGGATTATAATATTACCAAACCTGTTATGTTTATAAGTGTTACAATTACCAGATTTCTCTTGCCCTAAGTATTTGCAATACATGTTAACAGCAGTTGTCACATCATCGTCATCGTGGAACGGATCTCCGGGCCACTGAGCTCTGTGCAGTCTTACAGCCTCGAGTGCAGGACACCATCTGGCGTTCCTGAGTAACTCGGCGACGCGAGCGACTTCTTCAACAGCACCTGCACCAGGTAAGGGACTGGGACTAGGTGTTGGAGTTGGCGTGCCCCTTTCACTCTCGGTACTCTCTTCAAGCGCTTTACTCAGAGCACTCTTCATGTTCGCAATTTCAGTGGATATATCTTGAAGCGGAATTTGTACGTTCTTTGCAGCACTCATTAATGTGCCCAACATCTTATTCGAAGCCTCGATTAGCAGTAAAAGTTGAAAATGAAGCTTATAAAGTGCTCTGCCTAAGTCTAACAGCATCTCTTCAAGGCCAGCCTCTGTGGTGTGACCACTGCCTAATGCTTGAAGTTTTACCGCTGCTTTTGTAGCTTCCAAGCACTTAAAATAAAGAATTCATTAATAAAATATTTGAAGTATTCGGTACTTGCTCACTTGTTGAACCACTTACTTCTGTGGCATGATCCTTCTTATCTAAAAATGTCTCTAAATGCTCTTGGATCTCCAACATCCCGAACCGTAATGATTCATTCAATCTTTGATTCGCAAATATACCGATGGAAAACCAAATTAGGGGTGGTTCAGCCTTTGTACTGAGCAAATCTGCGTGACTAGTTAAATGATAACCTAATTGAATGGAAGCGGGACTGCCGTTACACAATAAGGCACTGGCTTCTCGCGTAAGAGTAACAGATTTACTGCTTACATCCTGTTGATAAGAATAAAAATATTGTGAGGATGCACCATAACCTTTAATAACGCATGGTATAAAGATATAATGTATTTACCCTTAGGATTCTACTTAATAGTTGGAAAAAGTCTAATGTGTTGTATAGAGATTGCGTAATAAGATTTTGAATTTGTTGTCGCCACACTTCTTCAGCGTCATCTCGTACTACTTGCCTAAAAGGCATCAGCGCTGAAAGATTTGGCGACGCGTTACAAGGCGTTACGTCTCCTAAATCTCCAGCACTGGAGCCACTGCAAACATGCGATAAAAATGGCTTAGTTAAGTTCAATTTTTCTATGCTTTAATAAGAAACTTACGATGTGTCAGACCTTGTTGATGAATCATGGCGAGTACGAGTGGGTATCAATGAAAGAGAAGACGGAGGGAACATTTCAGGAATATTATTTGCCTCCTGGCCTGCTCCAGATCCACCAGGTACTTCGTCTAAAGGTGATTCTGAACCGGCTTCATCATCCGATGACTCTTCAGCAACTCCGCGCTGAAATATTGACATTAATGAGCATTATCATACTTAATTTATTGATAATTTTCATTGCTATGATTTATATCAGATTTCACTTACTCGACTAGTATGTTTACTTGATGACTGTGTCTTTTCGCTTAAACTTTCCTCAAATTGCCTCAAACTTGATTCCCTTTCTTCACCTTCGCTAAGAGGTCGCCTTCTCACTCCCCAGTTGAAATTATCAGTACTTTCACCCTATAATGCACGAATAAAGATTGAAAATTACTAGTGCAGCACTGACATAAATATATGATATTTGAAACGAAAATATTTACCTCAACGCTTTCACTCTCATATTCAAGAAAATCGAAGTCTTTAAATACACCGAACTGTTCATCATCTCTCCTGGACCCTCCACTCAAATCATTGTTCGCGCCGGAAACTTCTTCCGTTGAGGAAGCCATAGACGATTGCCTTTCCATCAAATCTGAACTTTGACTGAATATCACCTGTATTGCAAATACTCGTTTTTAGTCGATCACTAAAGAAAATGAAAAAATATACAGCAACAGGGTCCTTATTCGACATGACGTTCTCACATTTCATTTTTTCTTTACTATGTGACAATGCTGTGAACTGTAGCAATTATTGTGCATGTACGTGTTCAATACTAAATTGATTTACACAGATCTTATTTGCATAGTTGCTTGACATAGCAATTGTTTAATAGTTACACACATGTATTTTGTATTGTGTATATTAATACAAAAATTTTTATACGAACTGCATGCTACATAAAAATCTACTGCGCATCGATAATCCTACGAGAAATGTTCTTTGTATTCAACGGTTCTGTGCTAGTTTTGCAAACTTGTACAAAGCATATTAAAGCGTGGATATACTTTTATTGATAAGACATCATATACGAGTAAAAACAGATAGTTTTGTACTCTTGTGATAATGAGTGCAGACTGCGTTTAAAGAAACCTGTTACCTTGCTATATAAGGTCATTGAACTAATATGTTCATCCTAAAAAGGGGTACATAACGAAAGTCAGTCTCAATAGATGATATTATGGTTTCTAGGAATGCTACTGGATAGGAACGTATAATCCAGATAAATATTTAAAAGTAATTATGCATATAGAACAACTTACAGATGGGCTCTTTGGTAGTCCAACACGTTGTCCACATGTTGTTAGAAGATTCACCAAGCATTCTCTGACTCGCCCCTAAACAAACGCTTTTGATGAATTTAATCCGCGACACATGACTTCTAATATTGTGGCATTTTATCTAACCTGTGACATCCATGGTCTTTTCCAACCAGCAACTGCATTACTCTCAGCTGGTGAAAGAGACACTGAACATCGTGGAGAACTAACTGACTTTTCCTCTGCACCTTGACGTATTAACCATCGCCTACCAATTACAGGTGTTTGAGACAAGTCGAATGTGAAATCCATTGTTCTTCCTATTTATAAATACATCGTATCAATTAAATGTGACATTAAATGTTTATAAAACTAAAACTTACAACAAACATAATGATATCATAATTGCGACAAGTATTTTTTACCTTGCTTTAACGAATATATTTCAAAGTTTAATAAAGACAACGATAAAAAATAGGAAAAAAGTTTCTAAAGGAACTATACGTAATAAATTTTGATTAAAAAAATAGTAACTGTATTCTCTGAGTAATTTACAGCTTATTCTTATTATTATTTTTATCGCAACCTGTGCATCATTGAATAAGCGATCCATGCAGTGAACGTGATCCGCATTGTAAGAGGAAAAACAAAACTTAATGACTTGAAACATTTCATGCAACATAGATTTCTTAAGGAGCATCATTTTACCGGGCAGTTCTTTTTTGGTAAATATCTCGGTATCGGTGAAGCTCGGATGCGGAGATGCTAAAGAAGATTCCCAAGATGAGCCATGCACTGAAGTAGGTGGTGCTACTAAAGTCGACGATCTTGTGACTACCAGTTTTAATATTTTAAGGGCTTCTTTCCAATGTGGACCCTAGTATTATATCATAACGTATCAACTACTCGCACAAAACATTTGCAAATACAGTATATCTTTGTTATATAGTTATCCTTAAATATAGTTCCACCATTATTTCTTCGTCATTTTAAGAAAGTAATATGGTAAATATATGAAAGGCGATTACTCAGAAATTTCGATACTTTATTATATATTGTAACACTGGTTTTTGATCTCGTAAAATGATTTCATAATAAAAACATACTGTATTGAGTACAACTGGCTACTATTAAAAGAACCATAAATCATACCTCAACGTATTTTGAAATCACTCTCAGGAGTTCAGTGTTGATTGGTTGGGCAGCTTGCGAAGCTAAATCAACGTAATGTAGCATACAATGTATAATACTAAGCACGGGTAATGCAACACTTCCTGGACCTTTTTCAAGCACTTCCACAAGGAAGGCAAGCATATTGAAACTCAAATGGGCGTACGTGTCATAGAGATACTTGACAACGCACTTTGTCCATTGGAAACTTTCTTTACTGAAAGTACGTCTACTATATAGTGTCATGACGGTGCCCAAGTTTTCCAATTTCTTTCCCTTTTCAGCACTCACCTATTGGAAAACAGATTTCGAACTTAAATGTCACAAAATTATAGTTCGATGATCTAATATATCTTAAGTGTCATAGTTACTTGTGCAATATTCTCGGCACTCCTGATGCACAATTCGTTGGCGTCCTCATAATTTAAAAGCATGTAAGGGAGCAACGATACAACATTCATTGGAAACGCGAGGCTTTGAGTAGGATCAACCACTGGCAAATCTAATAAAGGAGTGAACTGCGACAACAAAGTTACAACTGGTTCGTATGTATTCGGGCTAGTACACCCTTTTAATAGGAGTGCGTGTACACCAGGAAATGAATTCCATCTCAATTGTTGTTGCAATTTTTCCACTTTGTCTCTGGCATCTGGCCGATCTAGTGGCAATCTATGAAGTACACGACTTAACAATCTCAACGCCAAAAGAAATTCATGTTCGTAGTCTGATTCCAGTAGAGATACAGATAACCAGAACAGTTGCGCTAAAATCGTCATTTTGTCATCCTGTGTTGC